TGTGTTCAGATAGATTCCGTTTTGACTGTAGTCCGGATTTTTTTTTTTCCTCTCTTTTTGTTCATCAGCCAGAGAACTCATAAAATCCTAAATAATTTCTGCTGGGCTTTTTTAGATTGCTTTTCCCACAGAACACAAAACAATGATGCTACTTCCTTTAAAACTCCTGTATGTGGTAGAAAGATTTGCCAAAAAAAAAAAAAAAAAAGATTGCCTTCCAGTGCGAGGTTTTCCGTTAGTGTCGGTGACAGGAAGCCAATGGTTAAATCTCCGTGTACCACGGAGAGCCGCCTGAAGCCGCTGAGAGAATAGAGTTTATGCAGGACTGTGTGTGGAGCTGCTCGCTGCTTGTGTAAAAATAGACGGCAATACATCAATTCCACAGCCTCGGCTAGCTACAATTCATACAGGGGAAAAAAACAAGCAGTTTCCTCGTAATCTCTGGAGTCTAGAGTGACTAGCAGGGGGACAGAGGACTTCTGCATGTTTGCATTCAGCACAATGGAATGTTCTCGGAAAGTTTGGACAACTTAGGAAACAAGCAAAACTTTCTGTGGACTCTGGTGAGATGGACCCGAATTGAATTGCGTGGAGGATCCCAGCTGCTAACAACGAACCTGGCAGAGGACTCCAAGTGCTTCCTCTGGGCAGCTGGGGGCACGTAGGGTAAGGGGGAGGATCGAGTGCCACACGTGATTTGATTAAATAAGATGTCCATGTGGCGCAGCAATACACATCTAAAGTGAAAATAATTTGGCCAGGGCTGTCTGTGAATGCATTTTTCCTATCTAGCGTGTGGCATGCCATAGATTCTTAACTCTTTGCTGGGTTTGCAAATGTTGGCTCAGTTTGCCCTCCCCTGCCTTGGGAGATTGTATTTGCAAATTGTAATGTTCTTATCCTGTGATTTCTTGGTAAGGTGGGATAGATATAGATAATTCATGTGTCCTGTAGCTATTACGAGTCAGATTTATAAGTGGCTTCAAAGTCCTAATTGTCGTTGAGTAGCTAGAGTGTCCTGTGGGTGGTTGTCTGGCTGGCACGGTGGGTCTCAGCTGCTGTAGTTTCATTTTTCCATCATGTATTATTGCTGATGCTGCTAGGAGTTGATTGAGGAACTGGATCGTATGGAAATATAGAATATTTATTTTAATCATTGGAATTCCTGTAGTCATTTTCAAATAACTATCAGAACCATTTAGGAGAGTGGCCTTTTTTTTCTTTCTTTCTTTTTTTTCTTGAGGAGGTGAGGTCTCGGGCTAAACGTCCAGCCACGGATTAAGTTGCCAGTCGGCTCAGACTGACCAGCGGTTCTCTGTTTGTCTGTAGGCAGCGATCTGCTGGAAGCCCTGCCTTCTCGGCAACAGCTCTGGGAATCACCTCCGCCAGTCTAAAATATTACGAGCAGCAGGTAGCTTAGGCAGCTTTCATTTTTTGAATCATTAATGTTTGCTGTCATCCTAAAACGTATTATGCCCTTTTGTACATAATGACAGGACAGAGCATTGGTTAATAAGGGTCTATATCACTGTAGCTACTCAGAGTCCCCAGTGTTTCACAGTTTAATGAAGGTGATGTACAATAAGGTTACTGAGACTGATAGAGACAATTCACGTGACATACACTCTACTAAGACTGTCACTCTTTACTGCCCCCTCCCCACTCCCTTCCCTCTGTCATGACTAATTTTTTTTAAGAAGTTTCTTTTTTCTTTAATATAATTAATGTGGCTAAGTCCACTCTTTCTTCTCTCTCTCTTTAAAATTTACCATCAATGGCACAAAAACCTCCAAAAGGTTAATGGAGAATTATACTTAATTATAATGATTCATTATCATCAGTGCGGTTAAGCTAATTTATTGTCTGCTCCTTAACTAAGAGAAAAGTCTGTTGGGGTGAAATAACGTACAATAATTAGCGTTTTGTGTTAAGTGACTGCTTTATCCTCTTAAATCTTATTATAAAATTAAGGCTATGGTTGGTTGTGAAACAGCTGTCATAGTTGCAAAGAAGCAGTAGAATGTATCTCTGTAATTGCGATGAAGCACACCTGTTACAGATGTATAGGGAAGCAGTAAATATCAGCATGTCAGATGAGGACAGTTACAGGGCTCGGACTGTTAAGTCTGGCATCATCCAAAGGCCAAATAGAAATTAATAACAGGAACACTTGCTACTACTAATGTGTTTTAGATTAGCAAGATAATGCCACATTCAGAGACACTGATTTTATTAGCATGTCAACACTGGCCAGAGCAATGCACTTTGTTTCAACTATAACATAAAAGCAAAGATGGAAGGAAGGAGGGAAGGAGGGAGGAAAGGAGGGAAGGAAGGAAGGGATGGAGAGAGGAAGGAAGGTAGGAAGGAAGGAATGGATGGTGGGAGGAAGGAAGGGATGGAAGGAGGAAAGAAGGAAGACGAGGGAAGGAAGGAGGGAAGAAAGAACAGACAGAAAGAAGAAAAAGGGATTCAGAGACAAGGGGATAACTTTTTCGATGGTACAAATAAAAAAGAAAAAGAAGGGAAAGAAACAAATATGTTAATTACAGGATAGTCAAATACAACAAGTTGATCAGGTCTTTTCAATGATTTTCAAAAGTTATTTAAAAAATATATATCCCTGGAAACTAAAAGGGTTTTGCACAAGTCACAGAGAGAGAGAGCAGTTAAAGAGAGAGAAAGCTAAGTTGGTTGTCCACTAATCAGTATGACACTTTAGCATTCCAAAACACTCTTTCTAATCTATGCTCACCACAATAGGAGCTTAAGCCAGGTGTAAAGATTCTGAGTTTTCCGGCTTATTTTTATTTTTCATTGCTGTCATTTTTTGTTTATTTATTTTTTAAAGGTCTGTTCCCCAATAAAATCCAAGCATTTATTTGCACCATTGAAAAAGTTATCCCCTTGTCTCTGAATCGATGGTGCTGTGGAAGAGTTAAGAGGGTGTGTTAGTCCTTGGAGGACAAGCCCTGTCTGTGGGCAAGCATGGCACGTGGAAAGTTACACCCACCACCAAATATGAACATTGTACCAGAACAAAATCTTCTCTTCAGCCCAGCCTCCTCTTCCTTATAAACCTAGCCAAGTATACTGATCTGTAACTTTGGGCTAATTCGGATAATAAAAAGGAAAGACCAATAAAATGATAAGGAAAGAGTTCAGGTTGAGAGGATTGCCCTTTCTTTGACTTAGTTTGTGCCTGCTGTTTGGGATGTCATTGGGGCCTGGTGGTCCTAGGGAAGGACTGCAGTGATGTTCGGGCTCCTCCTTCCCTCCCCTTACCAACTGCTGACTCCATTACCCAGAACCTACTTCTCAGCGTGTGGCTTCTGCTCACGCTGCTGCATATGACCCGTGTAATGTAGCCTGCCAGGGATGACAGGGGTGCTCGAGAAAAAAAAAAAAAATCTGTATAAAACTTATTTTATTCAAAATCTAAATGTCAAGGAGGATCTTCAGCTTTATGCCAAGTTGCTGCCTGGATGTGAACAATGGCACAGCGTCGCTCCTGACCTTGGAAGGTAGGGCCAGGAGGGTGCTGCTTCAGTGTGTGCCTGCTGATTTAGACACCTCAGGACTGCAGGTGGATGCCCTGGCATCACCAGACCCCCGCAATGGGAAGTTTCTGCAGGGTTCTTCACAGTACGAAGGGCAGCTGCAGGGAGTAATTGGAAGTTAAGATAGCCAACTCAGGTTTAGGAGACCACCTCATCAGTAAGGGGGTCCACTTTCCTGGAAAAGCCATAGTTATAACACTGCTGTGCTCCAGGAGATCTCAAATAGCCTTGGTGATAGGCAGCCCGGCCACAGTAGAAGGTATTTTAAGCCTCTTAATATATTGACAGAGTCCTGGGTGGTGCAAATGGCGAATGCACTTAGTTGCTAACCGAAGGATTGAAAGTTCGAGTCTTCCTAGAGGCACCTTGGAAGAAAGGCCTGGCAATCTACTTCTGAAAAATCAGCCATTGAAAATCCTATGGAGCACAGTTCTACTCTGACACACATGGGATCTCCATGAGTTGGAGTTGACTCGATGACAACGACTTTTTAATGTACTGACTTCATTTAAAACCTCTAAAGATAAACGTTTATTTTGAATTCACTTGGCGCATAGTTTAGGTACACATAAATACTGGGGAAAAAAATATAGTTGTGGTATGCTATTGTGATTTTTCCTTTCCAGGAATCAGGTGATCCCAGTCATACATACACACACACACACACACACACACACACGCACACACACACACAAAACAAACATGGCTTGTAAGCTACACATAGTGGAAGATATAAAGATCATGTAAGAAAACATAATTTTTATACTTCATCTCAAGGAGCTTGCTTTTGATCTATTAGGGATGAAGTTCAGAAACTCATGAAAAGTCAAGTAAGAGTAAATGATTTAAATAACAATCCAAGAGAACCATAGATCAGTCAAAGGACTTTGCACCATTAGTTGCTAAATGAATTATACACATTATAATGGTTAAAAGGAGCATAAATGGAGAAAGTTTTCCTAGTATTATTCCTGCATTTTATTTTTCATTTGGCAAAGGTTGATTGAGTATCTGTCATGTATGATGGCGATTCCAAGGTAAAATCAAAGTTGTATCCTTCCCCTGGAAGGGTAGAATAAAAAGTTGCATATAGTTCGTCATAACACACTCTGAAAGTTGGTAAATGCTATCAAAGAGGTACAAACAAATCCAGTTGATTTCTATCTAGAAGAATCAGAGAAGGTTTCATGGAGATTTCACAGAAATCTGCCACAACTTTGGAGGTAGGATTTTGGATGCAATATACCAGGCAAAATATTCTTTGGTGGTAAAGTGACTGAAGAATTTAGGATGTTTTTCCTGGTGTTTAAAGCCCTGGAGACCAGCTTTGGTGGTGTCATTGAACTAACCACAGCTTAATTCTTATCACATGCTATTGCAGTTTAATAAATTCCTGTGGTTAATGAGAGTTTTTTTTTTTTTTTTTCCTGCCTCTTGCAGTGTGCTGCTCTGGTTGGTGAAGACCAGCCTCTTTGCCCGGATCTTCCCGAACTTGACCTTTCTGAACTAGATGTGAACGACTTGGATACAGACAGCTTTCTAGGTGGACTCAAGTGGTGCAGTGACCAATCAGAAATAATTTCCAATCAGTACAACAATGAGCCTTCAAATATATTCGAGGTAAGGACATTCCTTGGTGGGAATTAATTTCTCATTGAACTTGGCTTGGACCAGATTAACAAGGTAATAGATCTGAAAGCACAATGCCTTCTTAACTGTGCCCTCATCAAAAGGCTTTTCATCACAGGTAGAAAACTTTCTATTCTGTGGAAAAACAGTGTTTGGAAAAAAAATGGATTTTTTTGTTTTTAATAATGAAGAGGCTAAGGACCAACAACAGAGTGCATCAAACTGTGTTGAAATACTAAGGGATTGTGAAAGAATTAGTGACAAAAAAGAACAAAAGTAGAAACCTATTTATCCTAGTCTATTTCCTACAGAAAAAGAGCAGTAAATGGCACCTAATACAAATTAATATGGAGGAATGCATTTCTTTTAAAGCAAAGGGCAAGATGCTTACTTTTATTCGCTTTACAAAGTAGGTGAGCAGTTATTATTCTTATTATTATATTTTTGGTCCATACTTTGATTTCTCTGAATTAAAAAAAAAAAAAAAAAAGCTAAACCCAACTAATCTAATATTTATTTATAGTCAAAATTCGCTTACCTTTCAGTAGTGAGAATTACCTCCCAGACTTTAAACTCTTATTATAATACTACCCTACAATAAGAATGTTTATCTACTCCTATTAAAGTGTTACTTTGAGAAAACAGGTTTTCTTCCAAGATCAGTGCTCATTTGCTTGAAAGTAAATGATGTTCTACAAGGGCCAACATTCAGTGAGCACTCTGGCAAGTGAATTGAATAAAGACTGGCAAATTGAGTAGTTCTCAGTATCACAACCACCAGCAGCATCATTATCATCTAACATTTTCTGAGTGCCTACTATGTGCCAGGCTCCAGTAAAGCTCTTTAAATGCATTTGTTTTCTACCAGCAAAGACAGGTTTTTTTAAATATTCAATATTATTTTGTTGAAATCCTGAGTCATTAAGAAAAACAGTTTTATAATACTTATTGAGTTTTTCCGGCACTCACACACATAGAAGTCTCCGGAAAAATGTTTGTTGAGTGCATAGTAAGTGAGTGATGAATATAGCAATGATAAAAAACAGTAATAGGAATAACAAAAATTGCCAATATTTTGGAACACCTAAGCTTTATGTATTTTATGTCGTCTCCTTTTCCTCTCAAAATAATCTATTGCTTAGGCACTGTTATTGAACCTTGGTACTATCACTATCATTCCCATTTTACATATGGGGACACTGAGTCTCAGAGGGGATATGTGATTGCCCCCAAATCACACCACTGACAAGTGAGAGACCTGAAACTGAACTCAAAATTTACTTGACTTCGAAGTCTGTATCAATGGTACAAATAGGGCTACAGTGAATCTGGGTGGCAGCCATCCTTTACAAAGACATATCAAGCTGCCTCTTTGCTGAATATGTTTAAAAATAGAACATAATCTTTCCTTTCAGTGTTGGTTAACATGGAAAGCAGGACAGTGATGAGCTGAGGTGGCTGTAGGCTCTGCCTGCCAGTGGCTAAGATTTTATAATACGTCTGGAGCGTGAACTGGGTCTTAGAAGAATGCTTCAGATAGTGAAGTTAGGGCTGGGAGAAGGAATAAGGGGGAGGAAACACAGACCATTTGTGGTTAGTTATACTTTCCCAGGCTTCTTACCCAGGTCTTAGAAAGTTCATGTGAGGACTTGGCTAGTTAGAACTGGTAAATTAAACATTCCTCATTCTCTACTCTTGTCAGGTTACAGGCCCATTTTAAGTCATGCTGCATTAAATAAACAGTACTTTAAAAAAAAATCCATGTCTACAGACCTCTTATCTCAAAATCGGCTATTTCATATTGGGCGAATGCCATGCATTTTGTAAATGAGGGAGAGGGAATAACTAAAAGGTGTGTGTGCTACTTTCAAAGAAGACAACTTTCTCCATGACCTTTTGTTCTCCTGTTTCACTTTGTAGTACCTGCACGAGTTTTTGTAAAACTTCCAGTTTACTCCCGCAGGCGACTTGGTTAAACACCTATTTAGTTATCTATAGATGTGTAATCTACACAATGGCATCCCTTCTATTTCCCTGTATAACATTCTACCACTGATAGAATTGTTTCTAGATACACACTCTAAAAAGACAAGGTTCATTTTATACCAGTGCTTCTTCAGCCAGGCCAATTTTGCCTCCCAGGAAACATTTGACAATGTCTAGAGACATGTTTGATTGTTACAGCTGGGGGAGATGTTATTGGAGTCTAGAGGGTAGAGGTCAGGGATGCTGCTAAATATCCTACAACACACAGGAGAGCCGCCACCCACCACCCCTAAAAAAACATCCAGCCCTGAATGTCAATAATACTGAGGTAGAGATACCCTGTTTAAAAAAAAAACACCGAAATTCCCCTTTATAAAGTACTAACTATGAATTGATCAAATTTCTGAGAGGACACTTAGTAAGATACAGAATATAAAAACTCAGAAGTCATAAAATTATCCGGATGTTCAGGGCTGTGAGATTGATAGGTATTCTCTTAGTGACAGAGCAAAAGTGACTGTTCAGACAACTCCTCATCACAGTTTCCTCTGATGTCACAAACCCATTCTTCTTTGTCTAGTGGAAGGGTAAGGTTCAGGTGTGGCAATACTGTCATAAACAGCAGCAGCTTCAGGAGCATTTGCATATAGTGACGATGCCTTTACTCTGTCCTCTAGAGTTAAACTCAGACATTTCCTATAATGGGAAAGGAAAGTGTGTTTTGAGCAGAGGTGGAATTCTAAAACTGTGTCTTCCTCTGTGTAGAAAGTCAGTAGGCAACAAAATAACCCTTGAATGGCCCTGGCTTTGTGAGGCCTCTACCAAGCCAGAGTTATCACTGAAGTCATTTCCCAGGGGCTGTGCCTTTAAATCTCTCACCATGGACTTTCACCTGTACTAACTTTCTTCCAATTCTCAAAGCCCTGCCTCATCCCATTTGAGAAGGCTTTGTACTTGAGCAAGCCAAACAGTCACGATCTTTGCCATCTCTGATCTGCCAACAATAAACATTATCTATCACAAATTTCAAGAATAAAACAAGGCAGTGAATAACTAAATACTTTTTCCTGACTCAAGTAGCATGTTGATGACACCGTCGAAAGCAGGCCATAGGACTTCTGAATACTAATCAAAGTAGAAAGTGGTACTTATATAATATGCTGGTTGCCATCCTGTTAATTCTGACTCATGATGACCCCTACTGTGTCAGAGTAGAACTGCACTGAGCCATTCTCACAATCGTTGTTATGCTTGAGCCCATTGTTGCCACCACTGTGTCAATCCACCTCGATGAGGGTCTTCCTCTTTTTCGCTGACCAGAGCTACATAATAGCATAGCAGAATGTTAAAAGACAAAAACAAACAAATAAAACTTAGTAGTCAATAGAACTTTCCTCTTTTTGCTCATTCCGTGCATTTGAGTCCAAGTTTAATTTTTATTTAATTAAAAAAAAAGAAAGAAGGGAGTTGAATGTCACATTTTGGAAAAGAGTGGATTCCTGAGTGGGAGCAAAGGTGTGCCAACATGCAATGGTACACACTGGTTGAGTAACTGCACATACAAACAAGGGTCTCTGCTTGCACAACTTGTGTTTGGATGTGTAAATGTAGGTGGTCAGGTGTATTCAGAAATTGCTTATCAAAACAGGGCATCAGGCCAATAGGTATAGCCTCCAATGAATTGAATCCATGTGTAAGGAAAACAGGATGCTGTCCCTGGACTGGCTGGTAGCAAGATTTATGTTTCAGAATATTGCAGCATAACTTCCTTCCCTCTGTTGCCTTTGTATGTTGTTTGAAGGAGGAGAATAAAGAGCTACTTTTTATAACACAGCAGTGTGTAAAGATGGGTGGCATGGAGTTCGTTTAAATGGGTGGCATGGAGTTCGTTTAAATAGCACATCGACCCTTCTGGGTCACTGTGGGCCATCTTGTCCTTGCTTTATTTTAACACCTGCTTTAATGCCTCCATGATACAACTGAATGGACATCTCTCATTCATGCGTCTGTTACTTCTGAATGCAGCTACTTGGGGTCTTTAGAACATGGCGAGTGAAAATTCAGTTGTTCTGAGGCCTGCCTTTGCTAATGGGGAGAGAAGGGCTCACAGCTGTAGCCAGCTTTCATGTTTGGTGCTTACTGGAGCTCTCAGTGAGGTCTTATATGTGAACTTCTGTAGGAAAAAAGAGGAGCTTTCCTCTTATAAAGGAACCCTGGTGGCGCAAGTGGTTAAGCGCTCAACTGCTAACCAAAAAGTTGGTGGTTCCAACCCACCAGCCACTCTGTGGGAGAAAGATGTGGCAGTCTGCTTCCGTGAAGATTACAGCCTTGGACACCCTATGGGGCAATCCTGCTCTATCCTACAGAGTCACTGTGAGTCGGAATCGACTTGACAACAATGGGTTTGGTTCCTCTTATATGTTTATAAGGTATCCTGCTACATGCCACTGAGGAAATGGGTGGTGGAAACTTTCAGGACTACTTGATCATTCTGGTGGGAATATAGATGATTTTACATTTTTTCTTGTGGCTTTCAGTTATTTTCTGAGTTTTTTTTTCTCCAGTGGGCATAAGTTACATACCTACCACACAGTTGAAAAATAATTGTTTATTCAACCAACCATGAGCATTTTGGGAGCAGGGAACCTACCTGTCTTGTATGTTAAAGTTTTCTCAGATGTTTTCTTAGAAAAAAGCAAAAAGTAACTACTCAATAAATATTTTTAGTATAATGAATAAGTTAATCAACCAAAAATTCATCGATGGTGTGAATTGCGTTAAATAATATGAAGATTACATGCAAAGCACAAAAGAAGATCCTTTTCCAAAAAGAATTTTAAATCTAGTTTGGGAAGCCAAATGAAGAGATGTAAAACAATTAGCAAACAATGCAAGACTGTGCATACATACATGTATATATGTACATATAATTATATACATTATCAATTGGAAAACAATGCAAAACTGTGTATATACATATACATGTATATGATTATATAAATTAC